TTTTGATCACAGTTAAGGTGTTGTGGAATTGCAAAGAAGCTTCCTTTCCTTATCCGAATTCCTATACCGACGACAAAGGTTCGACCAATACAAGAATAATATTCTGTGGGATATTCTCTAAAAGGAAAAAAAAAAAAATGGCGGAGATTTGCCGTCTTCAACAGTGATAATAGGAAGAGTATGGGGAACTTGACGACGAAGATGGTTTCGAGACCTGACATGCCTCCTGAGATCCTAGATTCTCTTATTTTCCAATGTCAACACTAAAACTAATCATTTTCAATTAACCGTTACTCCCGCGCAAGCTCCCATTCACGCCTCTCTGTTTCTGTGATGCCGTCTAAAATGCCACACAGCCGCTGAAGTCTGAACTGAATTTTCATCAAGAAAATGTATTAAAAAAATATAGCCAAAAAAAAAAAAAGGGGAATAGGTTCAACCGAATCTTGAAATATTTACGTAATTTAATGGAATTGACACCCTAAATTCTGATAGGACATGTTGGGAATATCCATGACACACATTATTCCTACCGTTATACTTTACGGACGTGGCAAGATTTTAATATTTATGTATTAAAAAAAAGCCGAAAATCAAATCAAATCAATTGATAAGTTAGCCACCATTAGCGCGTACACATATAATGTGTTTTCTAAATTTGAGAAGTATGTCAAAACTTCTATTACAGAGTAAAAAGATTGTCGTTTGAAAATAAAATTACGACTAGTTTGAATTGCAATTGGTCATTTGGAGTTTTAAAATAACTTTTCAATTATAACTTACAAAATATAATGTAAGAATGTAAGAAAAGTTTGATCTCAATTTACACAAATATGCTTATAGTAAGCAACTCTAAACAAGTACATAATGTATTGAATTATCATTGAGATATAATATTTAAATAAAGTTAATATATAATATTTATGTATGGGCAAAATATGAGTAGGCAGAGGAAGAAAAAACCTAAAAAATATGCTATGACAAGTTTAAGTCACGCTAAAGACTTTAGATTTCAAGCGTCCTAGACCATTACAATTGAATCCAAAATCTGTCCATTCGCAACACGCGCGACCAGAACAAACCATCCGGTTGGTGAGTTGGCACGAAAAAGAAACGACTCTAACAGAGATTTAGTTCACTCTCCATTTTCTTAGCAGCATGACCATTGACGAATAGAATGACCACGTGTTCTGAAACGGCACAACGGCTCGTTCTTCCTTTCGAACTCAGCACCAAACTGAACGGTAAACAATCTTAGTGTCCCCTGAAGAGGGTATTAAAACTATTACATAAGCATCGAGATCGATCATAGATTTTCAAATCTGTTTTGTTTGTCCTCAATGACACGTAAGCCCGATAGAGCTTAATAATGAACTCTCTGGCTAGCCATTTTCAACCCCAAGTAATGATTGCAAAAAGTAAAAAATAAAAAGCCTGTAAAAGACAGACTTAATGAAGAAATTAATATGGCTACTTGACTGTCCTCGTCTTTGTGCGCGCTGATTTGATGTCAAACTGTGCCTTAGCTTAGGCGGTTTCGTGATCTGAGGAGCAAAATGTAGATGATTTGCAACCCAGTAATGCCCGAGGTGTTCGCCACATTCAGCAAATGGCACTATAAATGAAGCACATGTAATGGATGACGAGCTTTTGATTGAGAAGGCCGGCTTTTGTTAAGGTTCTCCACTTTCCCAGTAACCAGGTTGCCAGTGCAAACTCGCAAGTCACAGGCACTAGACTAATCAAAGATTGGCCTAATTTAGAAAATCTTTTACTGAATTTAAGAGCAGTAAACCATGTATCCTGTATAGCGTATAGCTTCAACGCTTGATTTTTCGGTCTAGATACCAGTAAATGACGTCCTGAGATCATAATGTGAAGGGATTTTATCTAACTGCACCAGCCACGCATATTATAACTTCTCTGTCTCAACCATTACCGAGCAACAAACAATCTCAGGTGATCACTTTTTCCAGCCCACCATCAATATTCATCGCGGATAGCAACAACTTTTACTTCTTTTATCAAAACATTTTTCAGGCATAACCTTCAGTTTCCATCTCCCACTGCAGTAACTCTAATACAAGATAAAGATCTTTCCCTCCATACTGATGTAATTTATTTGCCTCAAAAGAGAACACGTGATTTTTATCCCAATAAAACTGCATCCTGCGAACTCCTTGGCGCCTTTATGTTCCACTGCCTTTCTCACTCGAACCATGCTCTCCCACTTGCCCCTCATTTGATATACCTGAGCCAAGACCAAGTAAGGTAAGGATGATTGTGGTTCCATCTCCATTATTTTCTTTGCTACCCTTTCAGTAAATACCAGGTCTTCATGTATTGTGCATGTAGAGAGGATTGACTTCCAAATAAGAGCAGTTCTGTATGGCATTGTTTCAATAATATCAATAGCCTCCTTCAGCCTACCAGCACGACACAACAACTCCACCGCAATAGCATAATGTTGTTCCCTGGTTTAACCCCAAATTCCTTCTCCATGGAGCATAATATTTGAATTCCTTCATCAACCAAACTTCCATAGTTGCATGCAAGTAAGATTGCAGCTAGAGTTATTCGATCTGGGGGTATACCTTCGCTAATTAATTCGTTGAAAAGGTCCATAGCCAAAGACACTTTACCATTGTAGGTTAGACCCATCAATATGGTGTTCCAGGATATCAAATCTCTTCTTCTTATTTCATTGAAGATATCCAAGGCATCATAAATAAATCCCAATTTTGCATACATTTCAACAAGTGAATTGGAAACTATTGCATCTGACTCAAAACCTAATTTCAGAACCAAAGAATGGATTTGATTGCCCAGTTCTACTTGTAACATACTGGAAAGACAACTCAGAAGACAACTAACCATGTATTCAGTAGGCCGAAGATCCTTCCTCAAGGTCAGCACAAAAAGTCCTAATGCCTCTTCTCCTAAACCATGTCTAGCATAGCTTGAAATCATGGAACTGCATAGAGCTGGGTCCCATTGATATTGTTCTCTAAAAAGCTGTACGGAATCCTCCAATCTGTTGTATTTGGAAAGGAGGTCAATAGCTGCACTTGATACAATGCTATTACAAACGAATCCCACCTTGAAACAGAAAGCAAAAATTTGCTTACCCTGTTCTAAATCTTGCAGGTTAGAACACACACTAATCAGTATTGAAGACGTAAACTCGTCAGGGAACAACTCTTTGCTTCTCATACGATGGAACTGCTCTAATGCCAGTTCTTGATGTCCTGCATTATGGCAGGCCCAGATCAAAGAATTCCAAGATATAATATCCAACTGCTTCATGGTCGAAATCACACCAAAAGAATAATCAACAAGACCAAAATTCCCGTACATATTTATTAAAGAATTCCCAAGTACCAAATTTGAGAAATTCATCCCACTTCTGATCAACCTTCCATGAATTTGCTTACCCTGACAGGGACTTGACACAAGTGACACCATGATAGTGTAAGTGAATACACTTGGCCTCGTGCCAATATTTTGCATTTCAAGGAAAATTTGAAAAGCTTGATCACCAAACCCATAAGAAGAATAACCTGAAATCATCGTGTTCCAACTGACCACATCTCTCACAGGCATTTCATCAAACAAACGCCTGGCCTTCTCAAGATGACCACTTCGAAGCAACCCTTAAGCAGACATTCCAGGATGTAGAGTTCTTATAACTAATATCACCAAACGTTTTCAAGACATCACTTACCCCACCAAACTCGGAGTATAGATCGAGACAGCGATTACCCAAATAGGTGTAGACATTGAAACCCAATTTTATCAGCTGGGCATGGATAACTTTGTTCAATTTTAGAGACTTGTCGGATAAGCAGTAGTCTAAAAGAGCAGAAAACCAAGAGACTGAATTTTGAGGACTTTGTCCTTGCTTTAAATATGAGTACATGCATATGCTATGAGACGGAAGGCGATTAAACGCCGAACTTCAGATAAAACATAATGCATTACATTCTTGAAGGGACATTCTGGAATTTCTATTGTTGCAACTCCGTTGCTCATAGGTTTCGAATACTAGGAAGATAGATCGTATTCTGTAGCAGATCAGTGTTTGTGGGCACCGTTCCCACTGTCATCGTCGCGTCCGCAAGCGGGAATAGACAGTAGGTGGTTAATCTTAATCCGGGCGCTTCTAGGTGCGGCGAGGGAACACAATATTATTTTCCAAAATTTATTTGAAGTAAAATATTTTGTTTTTAATGATATTTACTGTATAAGATTTTAAAAGTAGAAATTGACAAGAAAAATCTGATGGGCTCGGTAAATTAAATAGAAGAAGTGAAATATCTTATTTATTTTTGTGAATAAATATCTTATTTAATATTTGTTTGATTGCTATCTTATTTAATATTTGTTTGATTGCTATCTTATTTAATATTTGCACAACTAAGTGAGTCCAGAGTCCCACTCTTTTATGTATTGGTATAGGTAGTCGGCGAAAGATGATACTGATGTTAATAAATATTTTTATTAATTTTTTAATAAAATTTTTGTTAATGAATGTTAGCTGAATATAATATATCTTAATCTTACCGATGCTGAGATCTCACGGAAATTGATTAAATTAAGAATAAAGAAACTGACACCATAACCCAAAGTTAAGCTGGAAAAATATTATTCTTTATTTTAAAGAAGATTAAAAGTGTAATTTTATATATGACCTTATTTCTCAGATGCACCTATCACCTAATTTTTTAGTGGTGTAATTTTACTAATGATTTTTTTATGCAATTTTATATGCACTTAAAAAATAAAATGAAGAATAAAATTAAAGCGGGGAAAAAAATAATCAAGCTAACAAATCTAGTTTTGTAAGGGGAAGCAACAAATGTCGTTCCCGGCATTTATGATGAGAAATGAGATGCAGACAAAGCAGCGGTTGGAGGTATGCGTGAGGAGCATAATTGTGCAACGCGTGGGCAGTATAATTTTCTTAATCTGACGTGAGAAATTTTGAAGACAACGCTGACTTTGTGCACTTGGGGTTTAAAGCATCGAGGCCGTGCATGACTTTCTACAACTGTTTGTTGGGTATCATATTTGTGGACAGCAATTTGTTTTCCATGACTTGCCAAAGCAAGCGTGTTAAAGATCTTCTCTTCCCAGTTCCATTAAGAAGTCTGGTTGGAATGTTCACGCTACCCCCTTCTAGAAAGCAAGGAGGAAATTTGCAAAACAAAACAAAACTTGCATTTCAATCCTCAGCACAGTGCAGTTACTCGTTAGAGTATTACATGAATCAAGCACCAAGCATAACCACAAAAGTAGATGGCTATAACTATGAGTACAAGTGCCTAACGTATCAAAGAGCGTTTGATTTTGACGGGGATGTTGAGTAGGACAGAATCAACGTGATTTGATGGGTACTGCTGAGGTGGAAAATCAAAGCATCACGAGTAGTAATGGAACCCCACTCAACTAATTACCGCTATTAATTAATTAGTGCCTTCTGCCTTCCCTCTTTGGCTCTTCTCTCACTCCTACTCTTTTTCATTCTACTTTTCATTATGCGTACAGCAGTTGCTCGGAGAGGCACAGATCTTATAAAGTATGCTCTGTTTCACAATATTTGTTGCTCAATAATCCGGCCGCCTCCCTCAAAATATTACGCCGATGACAGCACCTTAACTAATGCTGTTAGTCATTTATTTAAGAATGCAAAACTTAAAGCTGACTTCAAGATCCATTGAGAAGCACCCAAATGGTGTTTTTTTAGAAGCAAAGGACCCTCAAACGCGTCGTTTGATTTTGTATTTTAAGGCCAAAGTTTGTCAAGGATTGGAGCACAATTAACTGGGACTGCGAGAGACTGATTTCACATTTACCAACCAAAACTACCCCTATGGATCAGTGTGCCACTTTGTATAGGCTTTAGAGCTTCTTGGTTACTCTACAGCTCAAAATTGAGGATTGAAAAAAACACTCATTTTGTATTAAATTAGTAATTCCCAACAACCACATCAGTATCATGGGATGTGCTGGTGCTTGGGGGGACATCCAATATGATTAGTCATGATCAACACAATGATAATAAATGAAAGGCAAAGACGAGAATGATGGCTTTATGATCCACTTCTCGCCACTTGGTGCGGCACCTGACGTGGGGCTTTTGATGCCCTTCTAATCATTCCTGGTGCCCCTCTCCATTATCTGAACCTTTTGATTCTTATAAGGCTTCAACAAATATATGAAATATATTATGTCCAAGTGTGAACATTTGAGGTGGAAATATTTTGAACTTGAAGACAGGAAACGTTGAAGGACCAGGAAAGGGGAAAAAAGAAATACAGGGCTAACAGCCACCGTCTAGAATTCCTTGACTTTTAGGAGCCTCATATCCTCGACCTCAATCATTTGCTTATTAAAATCTTAGTTAACAAGAAATTATCAGTATTGATCACTTTTAAGGCTTACGCCGGTGAAGATATTCGTTTTATTACTCTCCTCCTCTGGTTTCTAGACAGAAGCACGCACAACACACTTTTTATTTTTATTCTTTCTCTGGTCCAAAATTTCCGGGAGAAAAAACAGAAACAGCCATGCTTGATCCAGCAAGACATCAACCCGCAAATTCTAGTCAGTCACCGAACAGAACCGGAAGTAGTATCCATGGTTATGGCAGATGGGAAGATAGAAGGAGCTCTGGTTTCTGGGCTTCAAAACAAGTGGATGACGACGACAACGACTCTGGTATTTGTTCGCCGCCTTTTGGAAGACGAGCCCAACCAGAAGCCCACAATTTGACAAAAACTACTATCAAAGCCTGTCGCCTTCGTCAAGAACACAAGCCATTGCCAGAGGCCAAAGGGAGCTCATGGAAATGGTTCGGAATATGCCCGAGTCAACCTACGAGCTCACCCTGAAAGATCTGGTGGAGAAGCCCACGCTTCAAGCCGGTGAAGAAAATGAGAAAGAAGAGAAGAATTTAATCAACAAAAACGCTACAGGAGGGAAGGAGGAAGTGGGAGTAGCAGTGGTAGAAAGGTTGATCAGAAGGCGGCGGCGATGAGAAGTGGAAAGATTCAGAGTGGAGGGTTCTATTTGAAGATGATGATGTTTCCTCCATCTCTGGGATCGACGACGAAGAAGAAGAAGAAGAAGAGCGAGTCATCGGGAAACGAAGGTTCAAAGGCGACTCTGAGACCATCGATATCTGAAGGATCTTTGAAAGGTATTGTGGATAAGGAGTGGTGGAAGAAGAGCCCTTCAGCAGCTTCCGGGGATAGTGAAAGTGGCGCAACCAGTATCAACAGCGGAAGCACTAAAAGCCAGGCAGCAGTAGCAGCGGCAGCAGCAGAAACAGCAGCAGGTAATTTCGGACCCATTGAAAAAAAACTCCATTGTTTTCTATCGGGTGATTCAGAAATGATCATTAAAAAGCTTTCTTATAACAGAAAGCTAATGTCTTGTGAAACATTTACTGGCCTAAAGCCATCTTTTAACTGAGGAAGTAATTCTGAGAATCCTTTTCATTCTTCGTCCATTAATGATGTAGTCATCTAGTTTTTAAATTTCAGAAAGTTACTAATCGTGGGGGGACTTTAGATCAAAAGAAAAAAAAGGAAACATGAGTGCTTACGAGGATGGAAATTTTGCGTATGGATTCTTAAATTCATGAGAGATTCCGAACTGTTCACAGAGAGTGGTCTTTTCCCTCGGACTACTTGTGCCTCAAAGTCTAATGGCACAGTGAATTGGTGAGGGTGGATAAAGAGAGGGTCAGTTTAAAGTGGTGGTTGGTAGAGAAAGGAAGGAGAGTTGTTGAGAGAAAAGACTTTGGGAGCTGCAGAGTGATATGTGAAGGCGATTAACATTTAACAAAATTAATTGTAGTTATGAACAGCTAATGATGATTGAGTAACGGGATGGATATAATGATGCAGGAGAGAGAGGAGCGTGGGCAGTTGCTGGTTTCTGATTGGCAAACCCAAAAGGCTAACGCGGAAATAAGGGATATGGCATCCATCAGATGGAAAAGAAGCTCGGCCGTGCCCATACAGACGCAGCAAATTACAAAGTGAACAGTATGCTTTGCTTTTTAATTTCACAAACACAGCCTTAACAAAGCAGTTTTTTTCCCCTAATACATACATACATATATATGTGTGTGTGTGTATATTATGTATCAGTACTATCTCCTGAAATATGAAGCTCCGAGGTCCAAACAGCAAGTTTTTATGATGAGGAAGCAACATGCGCGAAACAGAAGTTCGCTCACTTTGTTGATTGATTCCGCGATAAGAATTCTTAACACCGACTTCTCTCTCTGGCAAATAGACGCCGAGTTTTCTCCCTGTAAAATAACAGCCAGGTCATAATTTTTTTAATGATTGATAACAGAGTCTCTAAGATTATGATTTTGAAAATGAGGTGCATTTGTTAGACTTGATAAAAAATGAATGAACGGGTGAACCATCATTTTCCAAATTTTTTAAATTGATCGTGAATTAGTGTAATTAGTATATTTTGATTGGTTTTATGATTAAATCAGCTGTGTTTATTTATTCCCCAAATTGTAGTTTTGATAGACACTGGAGAGCAAACATTTATCTTTCGCCTAACTAACATTTGCACTGCTTGCTTAAACAATAAAAGCCTCCACCATCCACATCAAATCGACGGTTTGATGTACCTTTAAAATATATATATTTTTTATATATAATTGTGCCTTTAAAATATGGGTTATCGAACACACACTCGCTTGTTCCTCCGTTTTCATTTTTTGGGCAATTTTGGCCATTAATTTGTGATGATGCACATGTTTTTTTTCTTTATATTAAGCTGTAAAAAAACTAGTCTCTCACGATGTGACAAACTAATGTTCAAATTTTTGCAGAGAGAGGTGTTCCATATTTAATGCCCGACACTGTCTCGAATAGGATTACTTTTAATGGAGGATACTTATACTTTAACCAAAAAAAAAGTTGTCAAAAGGTTGATCCAATGAGACCAAGCCTTGATGATATTGGAGCATCTCATTCTTTTTTTTCCCCCTAAATACATGTATCATTCTATTATAAATAATTCTATTTGAGATATCATCACGCATTAAATATAAACATCTTTTTCAATAAAAATTTAAATATTGGTTCGCTAACATCTTAATCTATTGTCTTTTGGTGGGAGGAGGGAAGGTTTTGGGCTTGGCCTAATGGAAGTTAAAAGGCCTGCAAAGAGCCCACAAACCAGAATCTTCATCAGCCTGCCCCAAGACGCATACGCCAAATTCAGCGCCTGATCGCCTGCGGGATCAAGAAGCACATGCATGGGTCGGGGAAAGCTTCCCACGTGGCAACATCTCATCCATCTACAAACTCACATGTCCCCCAGTTTAGATAATCTTAACCCATTTTGACTTATCGTTAAAAAAATTTGTTTTAGACTGCACGCAAATATATAAATTCCACTCTCGCTCTCTTGAATTTATATACTCGTTCTAAATATAAGATTTTTTTGCAGTAACTTTATTTAGGACGGAAGAGTATGTTGTAATAAACATCTTTGTTTCGTTCCAGTTGAGGAAGCATATCCTTGGGCGTGTGCTCAAGTTGCTAATTTATAACTACTGCATTACTTAATAAGTCATGAGCCTAATTGATGACATATTAATCAAAATCCTTCTTTTGGTCTAATATTAATTAGCGCCATGTATAAATCGTGGCGTGCTCGAATTCTTTTTTTACTGGGTCAAATCAAGTTCGTTAGTTTCGTTCATACAATTAAAAGATTGAATTTTTAAATTCAACTTTGGTGTGAATAGTATGCATCTGCATGTTATTGCTACACATTAAGTATTTCGTCCAACGTGTAGTTTGGATTATTAAAGTAGGACACAAATGGTCTGCAAGCGCATGAGTTGAAGATTAATTAGGTAATTAACACACGCCCAGACACAGACAACCAAATGGTTAATGTTTCAAGATCACTCTCATGCATATATGTTATATATGGAAGGGTGCATATATATAACATACAATTAGGACAACGCTAATTGATTCATTCACTAATTATCATGATAATTAATCATACACAACACGGCGCAACAAGGGCGGTGGATATTATTTAATGCAGTGCAATTACTATGCTATACTATGCACACACGCACGCACGCACCAACACACAGAAGTGCGCGTAAGGCCAACAGATTAGACTTTGAGAAGCCTGATTTGGTCAAGAGATGACTGCACATCAATCTCGTCTGCTCCGCTAGCTTCTAAGGACTGCTTATAGGTCATGCCAAGGTATGCTTGTGGATGTTCCTCGTTAACAAATGCTGGTGCTGGACTCAAAAGTTTGTCCAGCGATGGCCCATGAAGTGTGGCCACCGAGATCCTCTGCATTTTGTTGTTGCCAACAACTACCCGGTGAATGTGACTCCTATACTTCCCGTTCGTTTTAAGACCTGCACGATCAACCATTCATTAATTTACATACATAATGACTCAGCAAATGAGAAGTAAGTTTAGTCTGGATTCGCTTTCACTAACTGGGCATGGTTGAGGAAATTAAAGCATCTATATATATATATATATATATATATGCACCTCGAGGTGATCACCGAGCTGGATGAGGATGGCATGACGGGGAATATAAGCATTAATCCAATCTCCCTTGTGAGACAATATTTGTAAACCTCCATTCACATCTTGCACCAGTGTTACAATGAAGCCAGGATCAGTGTGATCAGGCAAACCGATGCGGCCTTTCGATACATAATTTGGTGGATAAAGGTTCATGGCCGATACATCGAACCCTGTGTTTGGAAAGGGCGAATTAGACAGAGATGACTATTAGTTAGTCATGAATGAATGCATATATGGGATCTTAAAAAATGTTATTTAGACGCGAAAGAAGGTTAATTATTATGAAATTAATGTTACGCCCTCTCGTTTTGTCACCTCAAGAAATACTTGGGATTTTGTCATCACCCTCAGAGAAAGAAGGGTTATATATAATTATTTCTCTTACAAGGTACAAACATTGATTCATTACAAACATTGATTCATTATTATTAATAAGATATTTACTGGGTTTATTAATTATGATTGTTGTTTACCTGATTTCAAGTTAAATGCCTTCTCTATGTAGCTCTCCTCAAGCCCTAATGTCTTCGATATTGCCTTTGCCAATCCCATTACTACCTTCCTCATTTCCTTGTGGTATCCACCTAAAATGTCACTGCCATGGGAGAACATCCCATTTCAAAAATAAAACCATTCCATTAATCGATAAAACATTTAACGATATATACCATCTGGACAACACGATCGAAAGAAGTTTTAAAAAAAAAAAAAAAAGTGTACCTGAAGCTTGATGGGTTGGGAGGAAAATGATACTGGGGGTGTGCAATCACCTTTATATATTCCCTATTTTCTCCAGAAGAACAGTTTAGGCCCCACCTAATTCGGTCCGTTGGATCCTTTTTACTGTATGTCCTCCTCTCCTCTAACGTCGTTGGATCAAAGAATTCAGAAATTCCCTTGAAAAGAGTGTCCAACACCTCATCTGGGATTTGATGATTTACCAGCTGCATGCAATATATATCACATATAGAACATTACGTTTCACAACTGAGACATGCATAAATGCGAGTTACACACACACACACACGCAGATATATATAGTCCGTGCAAAATCATAGAGCCTTGGTGCTGCGTGCATGCGTGATATATACTTACGTAGAAGAAGCCATAGTCTTGGCATACTTGGCCAAGGTGTTCTATAGCCAAGGATGCTTGATCAGGATCATTAGAGAAGAGCATGGAGTAATCAACTGTGGGAATCTCATCGTCCACAAGTTTAGCCGAATAAGACTCAGCCTCACCTGTGAGAGAAGACTCATCAGTATAGGGTTTAAGGGATGGTGGTGAAGCTATTTCAGCCATCGGAAACTGAACAAGCCTGAGAAATATCCGAGATATGAAGATATCTATGTATTTTAATTCTAATTTGATGATAAGAGATGCAGGCACAAATTAGTGTGTGTACCTATAAATTTATAGGCGAAGTATCAGAGAAGACCTCAAGTGTTATGGTCATTTTTAATTAGTAATAATATGGTTTATTATACTGTGCAAGTTGTGGTTAATTAGATTATAAGTTCACATTGACGTATATTAGCTGTATACGCATGCAGGGTATACGTAGCTCGCGCATCTCATCAGTTTTCTTTAATTAGGGCAACCTATCCCCTTATCGTCCTCCTAGAAGTTTTACTCCCTAATAACGACAAACTGATGTTTGGTGATTAATATTATTATTACATTGCCTCGTAAGATGATGGAAAATTAATGAGACACACTAACACATGTTATTTCAGAAGCGGTACGTGCGTAATGAGGTTGAGCCGTAAGAGAATCAGAGATCACATGCAACAAACCATTAAAAAAGACAAGTTCAACCAATCGAATAAAAGAAAATATAGAATGGAATTGGATCATGACGAGCTTTTTTAGATATGTCAGCAGTGACCGATTCAAGGTGGGTGAAGCGAGGTGCTTGCTAACCCTACGCTTCCAACTTCCTTTTGTACCATTTTCTTTTTTCATAGTGACTTTTTGCTTGTCAAAATTTTAAAATTAATTTTAACTCCCATCTTCTATTTAATTGTCAACATTGCCGGCCCCCTGTTACTTGATTATTTCAACTGAGATTCAGTTTTTTTTTCTTTTTTTTGGGGGGGGGGGGGTTCCGCTGGCCCTTATAATGGCGACGACCAATCATTTTGCTTGGCTTTACTAGTCATCACTGACCACTCAAAGCCCCGTGCATATATATTGCACATATATAAATGACTTATTTTTACTGTTTCTGATATTTATTCCAAAAGTCTGCATTTTTAATTGATGACAAGGTGATAATTTCAGAGAAAACATCAAAACTTTTTCTAATTACTACACCGTTATGCCAATATATGTCAGACGACGAAGTGAGAAAAGAATAGTGGTACTACATTTTGGAAAGCTCTTCTAGGTTCTAATAACTAATACTTGGTATTTCAAAATGTTATAGTGATCCAAACGTCAGATAAAGTGAGGAGCCTTGTTGGAGAGATGCAGGTCTTCTTATTCATTCTGCCATTGCCTCCTGCTGCTATGCCTCTCCCTTGGTACAATCTTTGGCTGCCTTTCTCTGCCATTTGAGACGCATGCCCAATGCTAAAGCAGGCAGTCATATTATCTTAAATGGCTATGTGAACAGCATTTTGGGAGAAGAGCCATTTTTCTCTGGCGGCTTGGCGATTTTGGTATTACAGAGATATCGATGATGCGTGAGAATGTTAGTTAATTTAGTTACCATAAAATATGAGCTGACAATAGCAGTTTAACCAGAAAGCAAACGCTATTATAGGTTTATAACATAAAATTCATGACAACACAGAACAATACATATGCAAATTCCTCCTTCATTGCATGTCTTCCAAAGCGTAATCTAAGCTGGGCGCATGCATTTGAAGGTCAGTGGCTGAGCGCCAGCTGATTTATTAGCGTGATATAAATAGAACATCGATTAAGCAACAGATGAGGGACACACACACACTCCCTAAGCATTCGGAAGCCTGATTTTATCAAGCGATGATTTCACATCAATCTCATTGTGGCCCTTGGCTTCCAAGGATTGCTTATAGGTCATTCCAAGATATGCCTGTGGGTGATCTTCATCCACAAACTCCCGAGCCGGTGCTACAAACTTGTCTATCGACGGCCCATGCAGCGTCACCACCGTGAACCTTTGCACCTTATTGTTTCCAACAGCAACTCTATGCACGTGACTCTTGTACTTCCCATTAGTCAAGATCTACACACACACACGCGATTAGGGATTCAAGTTAGTTAACAGACGACCAAAAATATCACTTCATTAAAGGGATCAATTAGTTATTTTGGTGGATAAAGTACCTCAAGATGGTCGCCGAGTTGGATGAGAATGGCATGGTGGGGAATACAAACATTGATCCATTTTCCATTGTGAGATAGTATTTGGAGACCTCCATTCACATCTTGCACGAGGGTTATGATGAAGCCAGGATCAATATGATCAACGACGCCAAAGTGACTTTTGGATGCGTGGTTTGGTGGATAAAGGTTCATGGCCGACACGTCAAATCCTGATTCCAAGTTAAATGCTTTCTCAATATAATTCTCTTCAAACCCCAAGGTCCTGGACATTGCTCTTGCTAATCCCACCACTATATTCCTCATCTCCTTATGGTATTCATTCAGAACCCCACTGATATCCATTCACCAATCATTGATTGACCCCGTTTCCAAATGGATATATGTAGTTAGACTATCGTTCAGGATGAGAGATAGCTAGAAAGGATACAAAAATTAAATCACGACTGACTTAAATAAATAAATATAATTTGTGCATGTACCTAAAGCCAGACGGATTGGAAGGAAAGTGACACTGAGGATGCGTCATCACTTTTAGATATTCCCTGTCTTCTCCATGAGATCTCGAGGAGTGTATGTCCCATTTGATTTGCTCCCCCGGTTCATTTTTCCGATACATTCTTCTCTCATCTAAATTCATCGGATCAAAGAATTCAGACACTCGTTTGAAAAGAGTATCCAGCACTCTGTCTGGAATGCCACGATTAACCACCTGCATGCATACAAAAGAATCAAAATTTCATATATGTAAGTAAATTAAATAAGTTGAACTACGTGTACTGTGACTTCTTAATTGTAAGGAGAGAAACTAATATCAAATCGGTGTAGGTGTACACACGTAGAAGAAACCGAAGTTGTAGGACGCTTGGCCTAGATGTTCTAGGGCCAAAGATTGTTGAAGAGGGTCATCAGAGAAAAGCAGAGAATAATCAACAGTCGGTATCTCATCGTCAGAAGCAGAATAAGGATTTGAATTTGATGACTGAACTGATGAAGATGGTGTAGATTTAAGGTTGCCCAAATAATCTGCTGAGTAGGGAATTACATTGGCCATGACAAAGAGGAAGCAGGAGAGGGGCAGCGCAAGATGAAGAGTATATGCTTAGATAAGGAAAAAGTGCTTTGCATGCAAAATTTGTTGCTGGCCAAACGGCCTATAAATAAGCATTCAGCAAACACAGCTTACTGTGATTGAATAGTTAGAGTGCAGTTTGCAATCTTTCTTCTTTCCTTTCCGCCTTCTTTCCGCCTCTTCCTTTCCTAATTATTAGATTAACATATTTCAATAGTTGAGATTTTAATTTTTATAAAATATTTATAAAAAATTTTTTAAAATATTTAGTACACTTGCAAACCACTAGAATTAAATTCTAATAGAATTTGTATTTTTTTTTTACAATTTAATATTTTAATACTAGGTTCAAAAAGATTTAAATATAAACTATTGAAGTATTAACCTGAGAGTTAGAAAAAGAAAGAAAAGGAAAGAGGAGGAGAAGGAGAGAAGAGAGGTTCTGAACCGCATGAAAAGAATAGAGGTGAGGCTGCTAATCGTATTTGAGTTACGCATACTCGATACAGTACCCCACTCTTACCGGTTCAAAGCCTCTCCTATTTCCTTTTTAACTATTGGATTAACCTCTCCTATTTTCCTTTTAACTGTTGGATTAACGGGTCAAAGTGGGCCATTGTATTAGGTAAGTGTAACTTAAACACGACTAGCAACTTCTACACTTCCATTTTCCTCCACTTCTTTTTTCTAACTCTTAGGTTAATATTTCAATGATTCAGATTTAGACATTTTTAAAATTATTATTAAAATATTAAAGTGTAAAGTAAATAAATTATAAATTACAAATTATATTAAAATTTAATTCTAATAGTTTGCAAATGTACTAAATATTTTTAAAATTTTTTATAAAAAAATTAAAATTTGAATCGTTAAAATATGTTAATTTAATTGTTAAAAAAAGAAGAGAATAAGGAGGGAAGATGAGAGGTTCTAAACCGCTTATTGTGCTTTTCTTTCTTTCTTTTTAATTATTGGATTGATATCTTAATGATTGGGATTTAATTTTTTTAAAAATTATTATTAAAATATGAAATTATAAAAATAAATAAATTATAAATTATAAACCTTATTAAAATTTAATTTTAATAGTTTGCAAATGTACTAAGTATTTTTTTAAATTTTTTATAAATAATCTATAAAAATTAAAATCTCAACTGTTAAAATATATTAATATAATAATTAAAAAAATGAGAGGAGAGGATGGAATTAGAAGACGAGAGATTTCAGGCCAAACAAAAAACAAAAAAGAAGACGAGAGATTGCGAACCTAAACTTCAATCATTCCGAGCTCCTAAAATGCAAAGAACGTGGTTTTCATGGCGTCCTGTATTACAATGGGAGAGGGATTCGCTCCTTTTCCCATCGCCACCATTGAATCTTTTGATCTAATGGCTCAGTAGAGCGTCGGCCCCACGAATGTTGACCTTGCCTTGCCGGGCAAACTTTCAAGGAAGAGTAGAAATTCGTGCCACGATGTACTTATTTATTAAAATCAAAGCAGTTTTCGGCAAGTGAGACGAATATACCCATAATCCTCTGATATTATTTATAAATTATTTTTAATATGCTTAATAGAGATTAATAAAAATCTTAAATTTTATTAACTGTTATTTAAAATTTAATAACTATTTGATTTTATTTTTATTTAATATACAATATACCTTATGAAAATAAAGTTAATACAATAAGAAATGAAGAGTAAACTTGTACATTTATGTGAAAATTTTTCTTTCTGTCTTCTAAATAGGATAAAATATTTTCTTTTCTTTTTGTCATATAAATAGAAATATAGGAATAATTTATATTATAAAATAGATTTTATATTCAAATATGAGAAATATCTTTTCTGTACATATACAGGCATCATTTCTTTATCAACTTGTGCGTGTATATATAGGATTAATATAATTTTTTATTTCTTAAATTTACCTTTGTTTTAATTTTATTTTTTTAAATTTTGAATTATAAATTTTGGTCTGCAAATAGTAAAATAATTTAAATTTTTATTAAATTATAGGGATTAATATTTTAATTTTTTAATGAAAAAAATTTGATAGAGCAAAACCAATTAACTCTCCGTATATATACACACTGTCACTGCTATATTTCAGAGGAAATATTTGAGAAAACTCTGAAGGAATAACGCCATGTGAGTAGATAGTAATTTTATTTAAGGGGCACTAAATGATTGATATAAGTGGGGTTTATTACGTGGATAACTTTGCCTCGTGGTCCACGTGGCGCATGATGATTCACCCACCCTCCGTCGCAGTCATTTTCAGCCAGCGAAATGGGATCCCGATTGAAGCCACGTGCAGCCAGCAACGTGAGCCTAGTGCCCCCGCCCCGTGACAACTAGGAGGGCGGTGATCCCATGCGTCAAATGCTCAAAAATCCCAACCACCGTGACTCCCCGCTTCCGTGGCACCACAAGCTGCCAAATGAGCAAATTTAGTGCCTGTTTGGGATTATTGTAAAAATTTTCTATAAACATATTTTATATAAATCAAGATAAAACTCTTCTCACATAATTATCTCATATTTCATAAATTACTATTAAAAGGCTGTTTATAAGTTATTCACAACGGGTCCTTACTAACCCTCCCCGTCACATGCAATCGCAGTATAAATTTGAATTGAATATCCCCATTCTCAAAAATGTAATTTTTTTTTTAAAAAAACTTTTTTTGGGTGACAAAAAAGACTAATCATCAATAATCTAGCACGAAAAAATAATATTAAAATTTTTAACTAGGTTAGTAGTATCCCTTGTAACTATGAATCGTCATCTAAGGATATGTTTGGTATGAAGGAAAATAAGGGAAAGGGGGAAAAGAAAAATTTTGATAAGCTCAATTCAAAAAATTTAAAAAATGAGGTTACAAGCTTTTATTAATTTTTATTATTCTTTTATATCACTTCTTCTCTTTATGAAAATTTCAAAACCCCACTTCTCCTCTTCTAACATTATTTTGTTCCTAACCATTAGGAATAAAAATAGGTCAGTTCAAGGTTTGTTTTTAACAGGTCAGGCCTGTTTAGTATAAATTAGCCTGAGCTTAACTTGTGACTTATTTTGGGCTTTTTTTCCCGACCTGAGACTAGCCTATATAATGGCATTAGTATCTTTTATTTAAATTTTAATGTTATAAATAATATTTTAAAATTTAATTATATTTAATATTATTGAAAACAAGTTATAAGTATATATTAAAATTTAACATAAAACCAGATATAAATACAAAATTAAAATTAAAATTAAAATAAATAAACAGGCCAAGTCAGGCCTAATAGGCTTCCCCAAAAGCCTAAGCCTAGCCATAAAAAAAGCCTAAGTTTTTTTTTTTTTAAATTTTGAAACAGGTCAGCCAGATCAAATTAAATACAGGTCAGGCCACAGACTCTTAATAGGCTGCCTAACTTATTTTCACCTCAACTAACCATGACGCTCCTAGGTGTGCTTATTTATTAGCACATGAGAAAATAATCCTTCTATTGAGAGTATCAAATAACAAGAGAAAACAAAAATGTCTTTCTAGGGCTGTCGTGTTAAGGTCATGGACTTCTGCAGTATTGGGCCCCATCTGGTTATCTACAGTATTTATTTTCGAACAGATCACAGATGAACTTGGGCCATTCACCCAAAAAGCATGGGCTGCAATTCATCTGGGCCCACATAATTTCATTCATTGACACTGTCCACAGTTTCACCCATTGGAAAAAAGGAATGAAAGGTTTAGCATTTAAAGTCTTCTGGTTTAGCAAGCAGTAATATTAGCTTGAATGGCTATGCGAACAGCATTTTAGGGGAAGAGCCATTTTTCTCTTGTGGCTTGGTGATTTTAGTATTAGAGAGATATTGATGATGCGTGAGAATGTTAGTTAATTTAGTTACCATAAAATATGAGCTGACAATAGCAGTTTAACAAGAAAACCAACGCTGTTATAGGTTTATGACATAAAATTCATGACAACACAGAATAATACAGTTCAATTCCTCCTTCATATGTTTTCCAAAGCATAATATAAGCTGGGCGCATGCATATGAAGGCCAGTGGCTTAGCGCCAGCTGATTTATTAATTACTGACTTCGACCGTGGTATAAATAGAACATCGATTAAACAACAGACAAGGACACACACACACACACACACGCTCTCTCTCTCTCTCTAAGCAGTTTTAAGCCTGATTTTATCAAGCGATGATTTCACATCAATCTCATTGTGGCCCTTAGCTTCCAAGGACTGCTTATAGGTCATTCCAAGATATGCCTGTGGGTGATCTTCATCCACAAACTCCCGAGCCGGTGCTACAAACTTGTCTATCGACGGCCCATGCAGCGTCGCCACCGTGAACCTTTGCACCTTATTGTTTCCAACAGCAACTCTATGTACGTGACTCTTGTACTTCCCATTAGTCAAGATCTACAAACACACACGCGATTAGGGATTCAAGTTAGCTAACAGACGACCAAAAATATCACTTCATTAAAGGGATCAATTAGTTATTTAGTGGATAAAGTACCTCAAGATGGTCGCCGAGTTGGATGAGAATGGCATGGTGGGGAATACAAACATTGATCCATTTTCCATTGTGAGATAGTATTTGGAGACCCCCATTCACATCTTGCACGAGGGTTATGATGAAGCCAGGATCAGTATGATCAACAACGCCAAAGTGACTTTTGGATGCGTGGTTTGGTGGATAAAGGTTCATGGCCGACACGTCAAATCCTGATTCCAAGTTAAATGCTTTCTCAATGTAATTCTCTTCAAACCCCAAGGTCCTGGACATTGCTCTTGCTAATCCCACCACTACATTTCTCATCTCCTTATGGTATTCATTCAGAACCTCACTGATATCCATTCACCAATCATTAATTGACCCCGTTTCCAAATACCGTTCAGGATGAGAGATAGCTAGAAAGGGTACAAAAAGTAAATCACGAGTGACTTAAATAAATAAATATATTTGTACATGTACCTAAAGCCAGACGGATTGGAAGGAAAATAACACTGAGGATGCGTCATCACTTTCAGATATTCCCTGTCTTCTCCATGAGAGTTCGAGGAGTGTATGTCCCATTTGATTTGCTCCCCCCGTTCATTTTTCCGATACAGTCTTCTCTCATCTAAATTCATCGGATCAAAGAATTCAGACATTCGTTTGAAAAGAGTGTCCAGAACTGTGTCTGGAATGCCATGATTGACCAGCTGCATGCATACAAAAGAATAAAAAATAAGTTGAATGTGTGACTACTTAATTGTAAGGAGAGAAACTAATATCAAAATTGGTGTAGGTGTACACACGTAGAAGAAACCAAATTTATAGGACGCTTGGCCTAGATGTTCTAGGGCCAGATATTGTTGAAGAGGGTCATCAGAGAAAAGCAAAGAATAATCAACAGTCGGGATCTCATCGTCAAATGCAGAATAAGAATTTGAATTTGATGACTGAACTGACGAAGATGGAGTAGATTTAGGGGTGCCCAAATAGTCTGCTGAGAAGGAAATAATACTAGCCATGACAAAGAGGAAGTGGGAGGAGAGGGCAGCGCAGGATGAAGAATACTCCTCTGTTCTTATTTATAAGGCATTACCAACATGTTTTACATAGACCAAGAAAAATTTTAAACTGGATTAAATTTTTGTTAAAATATAGTAATTTTTCAAATTTACCCTTACTTATTATACACACCTTTCTAAAAAAATAACTATTTACACTATAATAAATGAAGGACAATATAGTACATTCGTGATAAAAATTTAATGAAGTGACTTATAAATATAACAAAAAAATTTCTTTCTCTGCCCTATAAATAAGACCAAAGGAGTATATGCTTAGATAAGGAAAAAGTGCTTTGCATGCAAAATTAGTTGCTGGCCAAAACGGCCTATAAATTAGCATTCAGCAAACACAGCTTACTGTGATTGAATAGTCAGAGCCGATCAGGAACTAGTTTCGGTGTTCATCACTTTGATGATTACTCTAAACTTATTAGATCTGAATTGTTCATATTTCATTTAGATGCTCTGAATTTAATTTTTTTTATTTTTATTTGTTTAAAATAATTATTTTAATATATATAATTTAAAATAGAAATAATTTTTTGACTATCTTTTTTAAAAAAAATAATTTTTATTTAAAAATAATTAATTAAAAATTTTAAATACTCCTCCGGTCCTTAATATAAGATCCATTTAACTAATTTGATTAGATTAAGGAAGTTACGTAAATTAGTTAATTATGAGAAATATGACATGTTTTTTCTAAAACACCATAATCATCTTTCTTAATATCCATCTCCCTCTTCTACTTGATTATGATTGAGGAAGTATCCATAGGGGTAATTTAGAGAAAATTGATAAATATGAGAAATGAGTTTTATATTTAGGACCAAAACCAACTCAACAATTGAATCTTATATTAAGGACCGGAGGAGTATATATTATTTAAATTAATTATAAACAGTTTAGATATGATTAGTTTAGATAAATACTGGGACAGCTTTCGAGCCGTGCAGCGTGTCGGGTTACTCGGTATACGTAACTTAAATATCCCAGACTCCTAAAATGGAAACAACGTGGTTTCGAAGGCCTCCGCATTCCGTGCCCAGGACCAATATTACAATGGGAGGGAGATTCTCTCCTTTTCCCACCAATCTTTTGATGCAATGGGTCAGGAGAGTGTGGGCCCCACGGATGTTGACCGTGTCTTACTGGGCAAGCTCAGGAAGAATAGAAACATAGATTTTATAAATATGAGTTAGGATAAAAGTTAATTAGTATAATACTATTTCTGATTTTACTTATAAGAACTAATTAATTAATTTAAAGAGATTAATAAAATAATTTAAATTATTTATTTATAATAAATAAGTATTGTCTTTTCTAAAATACCCTTACTAATCAAGTGTATTAGCTAGAACTACTATTGTTAAAGGATTATCTTAAGAAAACAATGCTTAAATATGAGAGATAAAGTGAATTGAGGTCTTATATTTAAGACCAAAATAAAAGTCAAAAAAAATTTTATATTAAGAACCTGAGGTAATATGATTTATGTTTATATTGACTTTTATAAAAACTAATTTGATATGTTAAAACTTATTTTGATAAGTAATAGAAAAGTAAGTTCAAATGTAAAATGATTAAATGTATTGTTTTTTCCCGAACTAATTTGCCTTCATTATAAATCGATTTGTAATCTAGTGATATATATATTTTAGAGAAATCATGTAATATAAGATATAATTAAGTAATTTATTTAGCTTTCATAATCTCTTTAAGCTAATCTACTGGGTCTTATATTAAAGACATAAGATAATATAACGTAGGTATATATTTTGATAAATTTAAGAAAAATAATAAATAAAACATAATTAAATTATTGCCAAAAAAAATCAAATTATTGGATCAGGATAGAAGCCACTTAAATACCTTTATCTTTCCTTGCATTCTCATTTGCTTTCTCTCTTTATTTTTTTTTTATAGGCAAGATGAACTTGCTAAAGATAAATCAGTACAATACAACAACTACATTTAGACCCTATCTAAACGTAGGCGATCAAAACATCAAGGATGGGGTTCGTTTAAAATCTTCATGTCCTCCACGATATGATGTGCTTCTCTTGCTAGAAAATCTGCATACTGTATGGACTCCCTAGGTGCATATCTAAGTTCAATTTCCCAATCAGAGAATATTAGCCTCCTTCCTTCTGTGATCTCTGTTCTAAAAGGATGGTGTTCTCCACTGTCTGTCACGAGCAGGTGGATAGCCTCAAGTAAGTCGGTATAGACCAACACTTTGTCAAAACCTTGTTGTTTATAGATTTGAAGTCCAGTGGTAATCCCAAGTAGTTCTGTTGTGGTTGAGGAAACACGTCTAAGTCATTTCTGAAAACCTACAATCCAATTACCGTTCTCATCTCTTATGATTCCACTGCATGCAGCTTGCTGTAGATTATTCACTGAGCTATCTGTGTCAAGTGGAAACACTCCCATTGGCAGAGGTGGCCATCATGATTCCTGTTGGTTGAGTTGGAAGATTTGGTGTTTGAACTTCCCTTGATCAGTGTATTCCATTAGTAAGTAGCGGCAAGTGTTAAGGATATCCTGTGCTGAAGATCTGTGCCCCTCCATTACTCCTCTGCATCTATTCTTCCAAAGGATCCAACAAACTGTGTTGAAAGTTTTGGCCCAAGACCAACGAGCAAATTGGTGCTTTCCCAGCTCTTGTGAGAGGTTTGTCCTTAGCCAGACCTGCAAATTCAAACAAGAATAAAAGTTTTCCAGATGGTTAGGTTTAATAATTTTGTTCTATATATCTCTCGCTATCTCACAGTCACGCAAGATATGCAAAGTGTTTTCCTCTCTTTGACACTCAAAAGGGCACTTAGCACTCGTGTTTATCCCTCTGCTGGCTCTAAGAAGATTGGTTGGTAATCTCTCATGAAAAGCCTGCCAAAGAAACATTTTCATTTTCTCCGGGACCGGAAGTTTCCACAATCTTTTCCACTAGATGGCCTGACTTTGGTCGTGTTGGTGATTTATCATTCGATATGCAGACTTGACACTGAAGTTCCTATCATTACTACATCTCCAGATGATTTCATCGTCTGAGTTACCACCAGGGGGCTTAGCATTCCATAGTATGTTGATGACCCACTTTGGAAAGAAAACCTCCCAGCATTGTACGTTCCACGACCCATTGCTTCCAATAAAATCTTTAACTCGTGCACTAGGATTTATTAAATGGAAGTTTCTCTCGGCCAAATGGATGAGTGGTTCCTCCAACGATGACCATTTCTCCCACCAAAATAAAGCGTTGTTTCCACTATTTATATGCTTCCCAAGCCTTGCATAGAATTGATCCCACACAGATGTAATATTGCACCATATTATGGAGGAGTTTGGTTTTTTGATCACTACTAGGTAGTCACCGTCTCCACACCCATATTTCTTTTTACGGGATTGAACCCATAGAGCTTCTGGCTTTGTCATAATTCCCCAGCATAATTTCATGATGAAAGCAATGTTTTGGTATCTTAGGTCTTTTATACCCAGTCCCCCCATTTCTTTCTCCTGTTTAATTTTCTCCCATGAAGTCAGATGCATCTTCCTTCCCTCATGGAATTGATTCCATAGGAAATTCTGGCTACATTTCTCTATCTCCTTTAGGATTCCTATGGGAAGCAACATGGTTTGCATTTGGTAGCTCGGTAGCGCTGAGATTACCTATTTGATTAGAATAGATCTACTAGCCATTGTCAGAAAATTTGCCTTCCAGCCTGCTAATCTCTTTTGAACCTTATGTATGATTGGGAGATGTATAGCCTTCGTCAGTCTTTTACGTAATAAAGGAATTTCAAGGTACTTCCCCAAGTCACTAGTTATACCGATGCCTAGTTGTTGGCTCAATTCTCTTGCCCGATGGAAACTTACATTTTTTGAGAACAAAAGCCTTTGACTTGGCTAAGTTAATTCGGTGACCTGAAGTATCACAAAAGGTCTGCATTATATCGCGCATCACACTTATCTGATCACTAGAGGCTTCTCCAAATAGAAACAAGTCATCCACAAAGAAGAGATGAGAAATGGTTGGTCCTGAATTACTCAGTTTTATCCCTTTCCAGTTCCCCTGCTCCACTTTTCTTGAGATCACTTGCCCTAGTCGCTCTATGCATAAAACAAACAGATAAGGATTGAGAGGATCACCTTGCCTTACTCCTCTTGTTGGTTTGAATGAGTGTGAGGTCACTCCATTCCACACGGCTTTCATAGAGGCTAAAGAAGTGCAAGCCATGATAAGGTTAACCATGCCCTCTTTGAGACCTAAGGTAAGTAAAGTTTTCCTCAAAAAACTCCAATCCAGGCGGTCATAGGCTTTTTCCATGTCGACTTTAATGGCCACAAAACCTTTCCTTCCTTTCTTATTCCTCATAGTATGGATTGCTTCCTAGGCTATGACCATATTGTCACTCCCTTGTCTTCCAGCTATGAAACTGCATTGTTAGGGCTGCACAAGGTAACCCATCACCTGTTTGAGCCTATTTGCAATGATTTTGGTTATGGTCTTGAAGCTTACATTGCATAATGATATCGGTCTGAAATCTGTTAGTTTTTCAGGATTGTCCACTTTGGGAATGAGGACAATATGTGTTTTGTTGATTTCACCAATTTTTGTTGGATTCTCCCAAGCCTCCTTAATAAACCTGCATATTTTAAGGCCAATAGTATTCCATTGATTCTGGAAAAAATGAGCTTGCAAACCATCCGGTCCTGGTGCCTTGAAGGCACCCATTGTGAAGGCTGCGTTTTTTTATCTCTCCTTCAGTTACCCTTGTGTGTAGCAGCTCCAGATCCGTGTTTGACAAAGGAGTAAAGACAGTGTCCTATTCGAGGTTATCATTAACAATACAGTCTTTTTTATAGAGCTTTTAGAAGAAATCCCTTGCCATTCTGCACAACTCCTATTGGTCAGTTATCCAGGTGCCTTCCTCATTCTTTAAATCCTCCACAAACTGTCTTTTTCTTTTCAGTTTTGTTGAAGCATGGAAAAAACTAGTATTTTTGTCTCCCCATTCTAGCCATTTGCATCTTGATTTTTGAAACCAGAGGAGTTCTTCTTGTGCCACCAGCTTATTATAATCTTTCCATAACTTGCTTTCCAGTTTCCATAGACCATTTGAGATTTTATCTTTTCTTGCCTTGTCAATCCCTTCAAGTCTTTGTAAGATCTGTCTCTTCTTTGCGGGAATATTGCCAACCACTTCTTGATTCCAGATCTTGGCTTTAGTTGCAAAGTTGCTGACTCCTTCACACCATTCTTTCCCTTCCTATGCTTGGTAGACTATCTCAGGAAAACCCTCCTCAAGAGCCCACGCAGGCTGATAATTGAAATGTTGTTGTGTGAGCTTGCAATTATGGTCCTTATCTCTATCAGAGACTACCACTACCCTGTGGTTAGATTTATATTTTAACATGTGGTAGGCTTTGTAATGCGGAAATTCGAGGTCCCATTGAGTATTACCGGAAACCTAGTCTAGCCATTGCTTTCTCTCTTTATGTTGACAACTTCAGAAGCTCAAAATTTGAGCGTACACCGCAACCAACTTTTAAAACAAGAGTTGGTTGGACAAAAAGTCAACCCAAACAATTCAAAAGCTCCAACTCACCCATAAACTTCCTTTTTATCAATTTTAACGCACATTTGCTCCCTCCAATAGCAATCCAAACAAGTGTTAAATCATCCTGAAACTTTTTAGTAACACGTATCTTAAATTATATTACCTCTAATCATTAATATGAAAGCTATTTTGACTTTTAATTTGATCCTAAATATAAGACACCAATCTATTTATCTCTCATATCCATCTATTTTTTCAAAACAGTCATTATAGTAGCTGTAGGTGTTAAAAATTTAATTAAATAGTGGTTTTAGTTAATACATGATTAGTAAAAGTATTTAAAAAAAACAATACGTAATTATTACAAGTAATTAATTCAATAAATTTTCTTAATTTATTCAAATTAGTCAATCAACTTTTGTATTAAAAGCTAGATGTATTGTATTTTTTATGCATGTATTATATATAGGCTATCATCAGTTATCAATGTGCGCGCGCGCACAATATTTCAGTGGAAATATTTAAGAAAACTAAGGAACAACGCTATTTAGTAGTACTGATATTTTTTTTAAGGGGCATTAAATCATTGATACCAGTGGGGTCAATTACGCGGATAACTTTGCCCATGATGATGATTCACTTCATCCACTGTAGCAGTCATTTTCAGCCACCGAGATGGGATAACTATTGAAGCCATGCGCAGCCAGCAACCCAGGCATCGTTCCCTCCGCCTCGTGACAACCAGGAGGTGGGTGATCCCTTCCCATGCATCCAATGTTCAAAAATCCCAATCGACATTGCTCCCAAATGACCCCCCCAAATTAAAAAAGAAAAAATACATGCACAATAAAGATCCCCATTTTCAACATCTGTCAACAATGTAATTTTAACAAAAAAACACTTTTTTTCGGTGACAAAAAAAGCTAATCATCCATAATTCAGACAAAAAAAAAATAGTACAAAGATTTTTAACCTGCCTAACGGTATCTCTCATGAATATGAATCGCCATCTAAAAGGAAAAATCATCTTGTGTATAGGATCGGAAGGGAGGAGGGAGTATAGTAACTTATCAATTAGGCACATCGATGTCTCCTCTTCCAACATTGTTTTGTTCCGTGAGAAAATAATCTTTCTACTGAGACTTGAGAGTATCAAAGAAAATGGGGGAAAAAAAGAAGTCTTTCGAGTGCCGCCGTGCTAAGGTCATGGACTTCCGTCGTATTGGGCCAATTCCAGTGGTCTACAGTGCTCAATTTTGACACCGAATACTAACTGCTTGGGCCATTAACCCAAAAAATGGGCCGCGATTCTTCTGGGCCCACATAATTCATTTGCAAAAATTTTCGTTGGTAACGACCATGGACATGGCAAGGATCATCACCAAAATATTTATGTCCGCGACTATTTGCCAATTTTTTCATTCTTTTTCCCCCTCAATTTTTCCTTTGACCCGGACTGTAGAGACGAAAAATGAAACACCATCCATCTTTTCACCCATGAAAAAAAATGGAATGAAAGGAAATGGAATTTAAGATGCTTGCTGGGCCAGTGAATTCAGTCTTGTGACAGTACAGACTCCAAACCCAAGCCTGTTTGCCCCTCAAAATTCCAATTTGTTGTTTATGTCCGTTGTTATTAATTGTCCATAAAAAATAAAACTTGTTAAATATCTTATGCCATCATCTCTAATATTGAATATAAAACCTAGTTTGTAAAAAAATATTTGGATAAAACCAAATCATTATTTTAAAAGTAATTTTATGATATATTAAATAAATATGTGGGAGAAGTTTTATTTTAACTTACATAAAAATATTTTTAAAAAAGTAAGTTCAGGTGAACGAAACACCCCATAGTATTATATGTTATCTCTG